TTTACAGTATTAAACATGAAAAACCAGAATCAGTGTCGCTTTCAGTTAGAATTACAACCTGATTTTCTGTTATTTAGCAGCAACTCCAGTGTGGAGCTAGCTAATGATAAAATTGTTTAGTAGTGGGGAAAAAAATATTATTTCTTTAAAGTGATAGTTTGGTTTGCAGAGTTCAAAGCTTTATCTAGCTCAGGACTTTTTTGGTTATCATAACCTTATACTGTATTTTAAGTATAAGTTTTCACTATTTTTAAGCGTCTTATCACTTACCTTTATTTTGTTTATTATCCATATTACTTACAAAAGGAGATGTTAGGCAGAATTATGTCATTCAGTTAATTTTTCATTTAGCTAATTAAATGGTGAATGAGTTTCTCGGTCATCTCATTTTGTGTGCCAAATATATTTATTTGTATAAATGAATTGTATAATTGTAATTGCATAATATGACTTTCAAAAGCTGAAGTGCTTACCTTTGTTTATTTGTTAGAATATATATAGCTCAATATTTTAACTAACTGCAAAAGCTGAATAATCAATCAAAGTCTACTTATTAATCAGTGAAATAATCGATGATTAGTCGATTAATGTTCTAATAATCGTTATATTAATCGATGATCAAAATAATCGTTTGTTGCAGCCCTACTATCTGCCAATTTTCTTTTAAAACATTCGATGATCAGGGCTAATAATATCCAGTCAATCAAAAGACCAATTACTCTGAAACATGGAAAACATGTTGATGTGGAAAGAACAGAAGGAACTTTTTCCAGAATTGTGTAATTAATTATCATTCATTTGAAAGGAAAAGCAATAGAACCAAAAATATCGGGTCTCGGCAGATGTCACTCTAAATGGTCGGATATCGGTATCACCACCGAAATGTTGTATCAGTGCATCTAGTGCCGTCAAAGATATTGATTTTTGCTTTCTTGCCCTCTCTTCGACAGCGGGTTCATGCCAAGACATTTGAAGTAAACATATGCAAAATGTTTTTCTGTAGTGTTTTACCATTAATGTAAATATATAGCTCATTGTCATGTTCTAGCCTTGTAATATTTACTGTATCTTTCAATAAAAATCAAAAAATGTATGCCGTTAATGTTGTGGCAGTTTTTCCTCATGGTATCAAAAACCACTATTTTTCCAAGTTAGAAATTCCAGTATAATGACAACACTAATCCCTACCAGTTTTCTGTTTAGTTTTTTCTTCTAAAGATCTTACATTATCATACAAACCACATAGTATGAATTCATATTAAAGTGCCAAGTCATAAAATAATTGTGTTTTCTCATCTATCCAGAAGCTGGGGATACCTGCTGACCTGTTCATAGATAGTTACCTGAATAAGAATGAGTTTGACCAAACATTTGTGTCTGCATTTGCCTATTTGCATAGAATTTTTCAGGTAAACAACAGTGCGTGTGTGTGTTGGGTGTTCATTGGAACCTCGAAAATGTTTCTGTCGGTCTTTTAGCAAGTGAAAGGTGGCAGCCTGACTGAGTCAGTGATGTAATAGTTTAACAACATTGAGTTAAAGCTCGAAGGCCTCATAAACTCATCTGAACGACTAGGCGGAAGTAAAACACTGAACTGTGCTTCAAGGTCAAAGCCTTTAGACCTTGACAGTTTTCCCTTCACAAAATGGCTTAGACAGCATAACCGGCCACTGTACTAGGGTGGCCCACTGCCATGAGCACAGGGTTGGGTGCTGTTCTTCGGAAGAGCCAGCTGAAATCATTCACAGTTCAGCTGTTGTGTTAGGCTTCCTAAACTCCCCTGGAACAAATGTGAGGGACTGAAATACAGTGCATGTTCTGCCTTTCACCTATTAAACACTGTTTAGAAACTAAATTTGTCCACACACAAAAAAAACAATTTAAATCAAGGTTAAGTTCCTAGAGAAATTCTCACTTTGACTTCATACGGTTCTCCAAAAAAAACGTTCAAATTTAATTAGAAAAAATGTCATGTGGTGTAACCATCAACAGTAGTAAAATATTATTCTTACATCTTCAATACATGCGAGTGATCTTAATTGTTATTAAACATCTTTAAATACCGAGTTATATATTTAATTATATATTTTCAAGGTAAACGGTACTTTTTATACAAATATCGTAAAACGTTTTTGAGAACTCTCACCACGACAATTTACTTTATTTGCATTTTACTGAATTAACCTTGCTTAGTGAAGTCATATCTGATATTTTAAAAGATTTAAAGGGATAATTCACCCCCCCCCCCCCCCAAAAAAAATTTTTCTTAATTATTTTAAATATTTTTTTTTTTTTTTTCTTTGAACTCTCACCACGACAATTTACTTTATTTGCATTTTACTGAATTAACCTTGCTTAGTGAAGTCATATCTGATATTTTAAAAGATTTAAAGGGATAATTCCCCCCCCCCCCCCCCCAAATAAAATTCTTCTATAGATATTTAAGATATTTTTAATATTCTCTCATTATTTTTGCCCATCCACACTCAACCAAAATTTTCACACAATACGAAAAAAAACAAAAAAACATTGTAAAATAACCCATATGAATTAAGTGCTTTAATTTAAGTCTTCTGAATAAACGTGACTGCTATGATTAACAGATTTATTTAGGCTTTTATTTACATATAAACATCAATCAACATAAAAACTCATCAAATATGGTAAACAGAAACTCAACTGCTTGCTTGATGAGAACAAACCTCATTAGCCAAAAAGGATGAGAGAATATAAAAAAAAACATTGCAATTTGCGTTCTGAAGATAAATAAAACTCTTATGGGTGTGAACAACTTGAGGGTGAGTAAATGACAGAAAGAAACTATCCCTTTAAGAGATGCCTCTAAATATCCATGAAAAGTTTGAAATGCATTCAAAATATGTTTGACTGGGATGGCAGCGGAATGAAAGACAAAATCAAAAGCAGATTTTGAAAGCCCTGTTTCGTTAAGATGTACAAAAGTACCAGTTCAAATTCCATGAGAAGTAGCTCAAGTCAACATGTTCATAAAGTGCAAGTATCTGAGGACATCACAATGCACTGCTCTCCAGTTAAAGGGACAGTTCACCCAAAAATGAAAATTCTGTCATCATTTACTCACCCTCAAGTAGTTCCAAACCCGTATACATTTCTTTGTTCTGCCGAACACAAAGGGAGATATTTTGAAGAAAGTTTGTAACCAGGCTGTTTTGGGGCACCATTGACTTCCATAGTAGGAGAAAAAAATACTATGGAAGTCAATGGTGCCCCAGAACTGCTCCGTTTCTCACGTTCTTCAGAATATCTTCCTTTGTGTTCTGCAGAACAAAGACATTCATACAGGTTTAGAACTACTTGAGGGTGAGTAAATGATGACAGAATTTTCATTTTTGGGTGAACTGTCCCTTTAACAGCTATGTTTGCAACAGAGACATTATTCTATGGCAAAATCCCTTCATGGACAAAAATATCATGTCATACTTGCATATCATCAAATACTAAAATCACACTCGGTAATAGACTTTCCCTATAACATAAAAAAAACACAAATGGCAGGATGCCTCGGGTCTCCCATGAGACACAGTGACTCCAAATGTGCTTACAGGCAATAATGACTTGTGTAATGCATTCAGAACTCTCTCTGCACGGAGGTCATGACATGAACATACGACAGCCGCTCTACTCTCTCTGCCTTCATAATATCGTCCGTCTTTACATTGTGAGCTGTAAGATGTAGCTTAAAATTCCTCTCACACCATAACCAGTGTTGAGTTCCTGACACCTTATTAGGGCTCCTCTGCTGACATCTCAGTGCATCAGTGAGGGGAATGACTCCAAATCTGCTTAAGAGACCTAAAGCTGATGACTCATGTAATGCATCCTGTGCATTCAGACCTTTCCACATGCTCAGCTACAGAACCACAATGGGCTGCACGCAAGTTACAGAAACCCTGGGAAACACAGAGCTGTCCGAACTCGGTCCTGGAGGGCCGGTGTCCTGCAGAGTTTAGCTCCAACTTGCCTCAACACACCTGCCTTCAAGTTTCTAGTATGCCTAGTAAGAGCTTGATTAGCTGGTTCAGGTGTGTTTAACTGGGGTTGGAGCTAAACTCTTCAGGACACCGGCCCTCCAGGACCGAGTTTGGGCAGCCCTGTTTTAGAGGAATTACTGTCGTCATACGCTCACATTCATGTCCTTCTGCCTGGATGACTTACTTTATTCTGTAGAATATGAAATTAGGTATCTTGTAGAATGTTTACAATGCTCTTCTCCATACTACAAAAGCATAAAAACGATCTGAAATGGCTGAAAAATAAATATATTATTAAAAATAATAACAATAATACAAAATAATAAGAGAAAAAGGCAGATTTTTTTAAAGTTCCATGGCAGAAAGTGGGTTTGGAACAACATTAAAGTGAGTAAATCCTTTAATGATCAAAAGACACAAATATGGCTTACAAAACGAAAGAATCAATACAGTTTTGGCATCATGTCAGACCTGCTGTTGGCAGGCGGCATGCAGAGGCTTAGGGCAAGATTTTCAGTGAATAATAATTTAAATTTTAAACTCTTCCTCAAAATAAACATGTGATTTCAGAAAACTTGTCAAACGTATTCACGAGTCAATTCATTTACTTTAATGTCACTTTGTGGAGCTTGCCCTTTCCGGTTTCCACCCACGTTCACTAAATGGAAAAGAACAGCTTGGACATTCTGCTAAACTTCTCCTTTTGACCTCCACAGAGGAAAGTAAGCCATACATGTCCGTAACACCATGAGGGCGAGTAAATGCTCTCCAAGCTTTCATTTGGGTGTTAAATATGAAAGTAAACTATATTATAACGAACTGATACTAAAGCAAAGCTGAGGCAGCAAATATTTAGTTGACGCATGAGCGAGAGGAGTCATTCATAAGGCATCATTATGTATTTATTTATTCAACCATAGACCATAAAAGCACCACCAGCACGAACATTTCACTAGCTGATTGTGCTTCTGAGCGCGTGAAGTCGCTTACCCTCCGCCACAGTCTCCTCCGCGGTCACCTGATATCGTCCGATGGAGAAAACGCGTCCGATAAACGCGCCGGACCCCGCGCCGCCCCCCGCAGCGGCTCCAGACGCGGGCCCGGAGCCCACCATCTCCCGTCGGCCATCGAAGAACTTCTTCATTGTCCAACCGGCAGCACTTTAATACTCATTAAATCGTGAAAACCCGCCTGACTCTCTCTCTGTCTCTCTCGCGCGCGCGTGTGGTTCTCCAGCTCCGGCTCCGAGGCTTGACAGACGCGCAAACAATCTCTCGAGATATAATACACCTTACCGTCCGGATAGAGACTCCGAGGTTCATGCGAGCTCAGCGCACCTTCATCACAAAATCAACCCGGGCTGCGTCAAATTACAGATCCAAAAACAACTCATCAGGATGAGTCACCTTTGACATCTCTTCATTCTCATAGCAGCAGCTTATAACACGATCTGCTGAGCGCCAGCAGCTTCTGCCACGCTGTCTCTTACTGTGCGCTGGACAACGATTATCGGCACAGCACGGCATTCAGGAGTCTCTCT